AAAAAGAGGAAGACCCCCCAATGAGATGAATTGGCCAGGTGGCAGCATTGATGGACTCAAGCGTGGCAACAGTAGTGAAGTTGGCCTAGGACCGGGCAGTGTTTCATTCTGCTGTGCATAGGGTCTCTATGAGTCAGTACCGACTCGATGGCACTTAACAACAACAACAAAATATGAGTTTAAATTCTCATTATATTGTCAAGTGCCTTTGAGTTGGTTCCGTCTCATAGCGACCCTATATAGGGTTTCCACCAACCTTGCAGTCCCGTGCATTATCCCACAGTACCACACCAGGACTCCTAATTCTCATTATATCACTTCTTAAAAAGTACTGTTCCGCACACTGATTTTAGAGGCTAATTTTTTTTTTTTCTTTTTCCACTGTAGTATTGATATAGGAGTCCTGGGCTGGCGCTATAGAATAAGTATTGGACCGCGAGGTCAATTTGAATTGCAAGGTTCATGGTTCAAACCCACCGGCTGCTCCTCAGAAACCCTCTACAGGGTTGCTATGAATTGTAACTAACCCACAATACTTAATAACAGCATTGATATCTGTATCAGTCTCCTTAACTTGATTGAGAAACGTTAAAGCAAACAAGTAAAAGTGAGTCTGACTGTTAAATTGTAACACAGTTTATGGGACACCTAGTGTTTTCCTAATTTTATATCCAAGTACTATTGAATTATTAGCAAAGAATACTTTTTAAATGGGACATTCTACTTTAAACACTAATGAAACAAAACTGTTATTTCCTTACAGTGCCACAAGGTTGCAGTAGTGAGAGAAGAGAAGTTGGAAGGTAAGAGTCTTAACTGAGTTAGCAAGTTTTTCTCTTAAGACACCAATGTAGGTTTAATAGAAAATCTCTACCTAACATCTACATAGCTTATCTTTAACTATTTAACTGAAGGGCTCTGTTTTCCTTTTATTAGTAGCTGCTCAAATGTTAACATATGATACTCTGCTTGCCTCATTGCTTATTCTTAAAGTCTAATAGCAGCCAACATTTATAAAGCACTTTTATCACAGGGCTTAGACGCTTGTGATAGGCCTATAGAATGCTATCAGAAGGCCATGTGGAGTACTTCATCAGCTGGAGAAAGATTGTAGCCTTTATATACTGCCTTGGGCTCTGTAACAGCATTCATAGGAAGAAAATGAAGTCAGAAGGATAACTTCTAAATAAAAAATGTCCAGACTATTACTGCTTGCTGTTGTTGTTGTTATGTGCTGTGGAGTCGGTTCATAGCGACCCTGCATAGGGTTTCCAGGGCTATAAATCTTTAGGGGAGCAGAAAGCCTCATCTTTCTCCCACGGAACAGCTGGTAGTTTCGAACTGCCCTATTCATAACCACTACGTTATGGTAGTGTTCTGTTATTTAAAAAACCCAATTCAAAGGAATTTTGTAATAAAGTCTTCATTGTCTTAGACCAGTGCTTCGAGACAAAACCTTTACCATTAAGCTTTGTATTTGAAGTCTTCTGCCTATGGGAGTTGTTTGTTAACAAAATGAACTTTGAGGTAGGTATTCTTTGGTGATGTCCACTTATTCTGAATTCCCACAGGGGTAGGCAGTCAAAGCAAGATTTATTTATTCAATAGGTACATAATCAAACCCAGTGCACTGCCATCAAGTTGATATTGACTCATAGTGACCCGACATAGGATTCTGAGACTGTAAATTGTTATAGGAGCAAGCATCTGTATTGTTCTCCTGCAGATCAGCTGGTGGTTTGAACTTCTGATTTTGCCTTTAGCATTCCAGTGCTTAATCCTATAGCACCACCAGGGCACGTAGTAAACATTTGTTACAGCCTAGACTCTATGTTAGGCCCAGGAGAAACTCCAAAAGTAACTCTATGCTAGGCACTGGAGATATGGAACAAGTTAGACATAATTCTCCCCCTCTGGAACCTAAAGTTTGTGCCTTGTGATTTCTCTTGTGTGTTTCCTCTGCAAATTTATCTACTTGATAGTGTTTTTGTTGTAGAGTTTCTCTGTTATAGCTTTCTCTGAATAAAATAAAAATATATTGAGTCTTCTCAGAGATTGCGTGATCCTCTAAATTATATGCTGAGTGTAAAGTTCTTCCCTGACTGAGAAAAAGGACATCATGGTCATCATCAATCATTAATTGATATTTACTGAGTGTCCAGTGGATGAGTGATACCATTATAGGTGGCTGTCTTCTAACTGGTTCACCACCACCTACCTTGTTTTAATGTTTCTGTTGCAGACAGATGAGTCGATGTTATACTTAACTGTATATGTGGCTATTTGGCCATTTAGAGCTTTTTGGACCACCACAGGCTGCAAATGGTTTTAATGCAGAAGGGTCTCTTGTTAAAGTCCCTACATGCTATGAATTTTGTGTATTAACAGACTGCTTTTCCTGTTGACTTGTAGCAGTGAAGTCCAAGCTAGCTGTGACTGCCAGCGTCCATGTGTACAGCATCCAGAAAGCCATGCTAAAGGACAGTGGGCCTCTGTTCAATACCGACTATGACATCCTTAAAAGCAACTTGCAGAACTGCAGCAAGTGAGCTCATTAAGTGTTCCTTGTGGGCTTCTTTACTAATTGATTTTGTAAGATGTTTACACAGTGGCTGCCTCTTACGAGTGAGGGCCAAGTCTAGTAAAACCCCATTTATCTTGTACTAAGACACATGCCTGGATTTAGTAGTGCATCATAGGTGAAAAATAGCAGCCACAACCCATAGTGAAAACCCCAGTGGGCTCCCCATAAACTTATTTCTCATACTTTCATCCTGTCATTGCCACCAGAAGTGTTTGTTGTGTCTCTTGTTGCTCCCTTTCCCTTCTTCGCTTGTCTGAATCCTCTCCATCCCTCAACAACTATTCATCATATGATACCCCTCCACCTTTCATCCAGAAGTAACTTTTTCTTGAGCTTCCATAGATCGTGGGTTAGATCTTGTTCATCTTTGTATCCTTTACCGTGCAAGTAGGTCCTGGACTGTAATGCACATGGCTTTTAGAATTACATGGTCTTGGGCTTGTGTTGTTGCTTTTCTGCTTAATAGCTCAGTGACATTAGACAGTTTCCTCATCTTTAAATTGGAGATAGCAGTGCCTTCTCTGTGGTGTTTTTTTTTTTAACAAAGTCTTACACTGATGGCATAGGTCACTTCTGCCAACACATATTGGGCACTTATTGGCAATGGATAGGCACTAAGTAAAAGAACTTGAATTCAACACCTGCTGAGAGTCTATGACATGCCTCACAGTATAGGGTGATTATGACATAGTGCCAGCTCATGGTCTGATGGGAGACAGGCAGTTCTACTGAAGTATGATACTACCGTAATTGTTAAGTTCTTTTGTGTCAGTTCTGATTCATAGTGACCCTGTGTAGGGTTTCCAGGGAGTGGCTGGTGGATTTGAACCACTGACCTTGTAGTTAACAGTTCAGTGCTATAGCGCCACATCAAGACTATCAAGACTCCACTATTGCTCTAATGTTGTTATTGTTAAGTGCAGTTGAGTTGATTTCGACTCATAGCGACCCTTTATAGGATTTCCTGGTATGGCCTTGTGGGTTAATGTGCTGGACTGCAAGGTCAGTTTAAATCATAAGATTGGCAGTTCAAGCTTACCATCCGCTCTTTGGTAACCCGATAAAGGGTCAGTCACTATGAGTCAGAATTGAATTGGCAGCACTTAATAACAACAACATAGGGTTTCCAAGGAGCAGCTGGTGAGTTTGAACTGTTGACCTTGTGGTCTAGTGCTTTATCCCACAGTGTCACACGAGGACTCCATTGCTATAATAGGAATGCTGTAATCGGAATTGTAGTATGGGAAGATCTTGGAGGTTCACTTACCCCACCTTTTGAGTAGGTATAGTTGAGCCCTGGTGTGGCACTGTAGGATACACACTGAGCCAGTAACCACAAGGTCAGCAGTTCAAATCCACCAGCTACTCTTGGAAACTCTATACAGGGTGTCTGAATTGGAACCGACTTGCTGGCACACAACAGCCACAAGGAGGAGGCAGAACAGAGAAGGCTTCTTATAAAGTGTGACATCTAAGTTGAGGCCTAAAGACCCAATAGAAGTAGCCAGACACAAGAGAAATGGGAGAATAAAGACAGCTGAGAGATAAAACAGTGGAAGCACACTACTTTCTTGTGACTGAGCTTAGAGTGAGAGGTAGGAAATGAGATATAAGAATGGAAAGTCAAACCTGAGTCAGATCATACGGTATTTTGACCACTAGGTTAAGGAGTTAGGCTTTAGTCTTTAGTCTGAGGGCAGTGGGGATTTTTTTTTTTTTTAAGCAGATGGAGTAAAGTGATCAGAATTGCATTTTAGAAAGATCACTTTCTCTATAGATAAAGTTAGATCAGAAGGGAGTACTCTGGAGTTAGGGAGATGTTGCAGTAATCCAGGGTGAAGTATAAGGTTACCTGAAGTAAAGCTGTGGTGCTGGGGATGGACAGGTATGAAGGATTAGACTCATAATCATAAAAACTTGGATATTGTAGTAGATGCTGGTTGGGGACAAGATGTGTGTGTGGAGTTGTTGATGGAGTTGAAGATGATGCCCTTGTTTTTACTTGAGCAACTAGATGAGTTATAAGGAAGCACAGGCTTTGGGAGAGAGGGAAGATTGGTGAATTTGGTTTTGGGCATTTGAGTTTGTCCCTATTCAAGTGGAATTTAAGTGAGATGTCTGTTAGGTTAAATATATGAGTCTAGGTGAGTTTAGAAGTCCTGGTTTGGTGCTATAGGATAAACACTGGAATGCTAACTGCAGGGTTGGTGGTTTTGAACCTTACCCTATATAGGATTGATGTGAGTCAGAGCTGACTTGACAGCACTTAACAACAGCAACTACAATATAGGTGAGTCTAGACCTAAGGAGAGAAACCTAGGATTGAAAATAGAGATTCTGAACTCAGAGTATATAAATAGTTGGGTTACATCAGTAAATACAAGGAGAATGTGTAGAATGAAAGAAGGACAAAAAGTAAAACTCAAGGTATAGTTACTAGTCATATACCCTTGGGCAAATTATTTAAACTGTTTCATTCTCTTTGCCAATAAAATGGGGCTAATAATTGTATCCATCTCATAGGGGTTATAGAGTACTGAATGAATTAATGTATGTGTAATGTGTGTGTGTGTATATATATCTATATATAGATATGTGTGTGTGTGTGTGTGTGTGTGTATATATACACATATATATGTTAGAACCGTGCTTGGCACATAGTGAATGCTGTTTATGTGATAGGCATTTTTCGGGAATGAGCAGAAAAAGGGGTGCGCAAGAGAGAACAACCCAAGAGGGCAACCCTGAGCATTTATGCTGCTTCAGTAGCTAAGAGGAGAGTTTGGAGGAGGAGGGCCTGGCCACTAATTTCAAATGACTGAGAAAACAAGTAAGATAAGAATGGAAAAGTGTCCATTTTCAGTGGTGTGACCAGATTTTGGTTTGCTGGGTGAATGGGACATGAGGAAGAGGTACAGCAGATATGGAAACTCCAGAAATTTGACTGTAAAATTGAGGAAAAGTAGATGGTAAAGAGGTACTTGGGATTGACAAAAGACAAAAAGGTTGAACATGTAGGAGGAGTTGGAGTCACTCAGGGAGCCAGGTCCTTGAGGAGAAGTAGATACAGAATTATTATGGTTTCTATAAATTTCATGAAATAGGGATTGAGTTCCTTTTTTTGTTTGTTTGTTTTTTTATGAATTATATGATAGTTTTACGTAAGAGAACATTAGCTTCACATTGATCCCATCGTATATCATTTCCTTCCCATGGTTACAATCCCCAACCACAGGGTATACCCCACAGGCTCTCTCCCTCTCTGGGTCCAAAGTCCCCACCTACTCCATCTCTCCATGTTGTCGTCTCTGCCTCCATCTCTGGCATCACTGCTTCTCTGGGTATGGTTCTGTTCTTCGCTCTTCTCCCTTGATGGTTCCAGAGATCTCTGCTCCTAGACTGCAAAATTAATCCCTCCCCTCCCTTTGCTACAAAACGTCTACCTTTACATTTCCAGCCCTTGTAATCAATCCTGATAGCAATTATTCATCATTGTAATGCAAGAGATCTATCAGCATCTCCTTTCCTCGGCCCCACCTAGATAGATTGGAAACGACTCAGTGGAGATTCTTCCTTGCTCCACACCCTCTGGATCTACATTCCCTCTTGAAAGCTTGTAAGCCAGTCACTTCTTGCCTCTGTAACCCCCCTGTTCTGGGTAGCCAGTGTCCAAGTTGCCCATCCCTGTCTTTTCTGTGTGTATGGTGGGGGAAGGGGATGATCCTCGCTTGAAGATTTGTTCCCTCTTTTGAGCTACTGCATCCATAGTTGTAGGTCAAGTTCATCAAATTGTATCAGATTATTCTTTTTCCTCTTCTTTCTTCTAGTTGAGCCCTGATCATCCAGCCATTGAAGCCAGGTCAAGTGGGTATTATCTGCAAGCGTGGGTGTACTTATGCATGTGCCCTCTCTTATCAGCTGGACACTTCACTCTCCACTCTAGTCCTCTGTGGCTGTGTCACTGACTCTGGGCCCAAGAGCCCCCAGGTCTTGCCACACTGCTGGCCAGCCAGGTCTCTAGCCAGGTTCACAGGAGTCTATTGAACATTGTAGGGCTTAGCTCACAGCGTCATTGCTGCTTTTCCCTCACTTCCCATTATTGGTGACGAATGTGGTCACCAATCAGAGCATGTATTCCCTTTGGGTCTTAGTCTTAGAAGGAGGTTTGTCTTGAGGGGACCCGACCACTTGCCTTGATGTTGGATTGAGTCTCTTTTGATTACCACTGTATTCTCAAAATGATGCTTGACACAGGGAGCCATTCAGAAAGTTAATTGTTGAATTTGTAATTGTTGAATTAATTATAGATGTTAGTTTCTTTTCCCTTTGACTTATAACCTTGAGTGTAATAGATATAGAAGTATCTATTAAATAAATAAATGTAATGACATAGCCAAAGATGAATAAAATTGGCACCTTGGTAAGTTTATGTGACATACACAAGGGGACTTCCAAAAATTTCTGGAAAAATCACATTGTCTTTTTTTTTTTAAACTGTTTTATTAATGAATTATGTGATAGTTTACATGAGAGAACATTAATTAGCTTTACATTCATGCTATCATATATCGTTACATTACCATGGTTACAATCCCCTCCACGCATCATCAACCAACCAAATGGTACACCCCACAAGCCTGCCCCCTGGTTGTCAGCACACAGTCCCTCTCCCTCTCTGGGTCTAGAGTCCCTAGCTGCTCCATCTCTCCACGTCATCATCTCTGCCTCCTTCTCTAACGTCACTGTTTCTCTGGGTAGGGTCCTGCACTCCGCTCTTGTCCCTTTATGGTGCCAGGGGTCTCCGCTCCTGGCCTGCAAAGTCAACCACTTCCTTCCTTTTGCTACAAAACGTCTGCCTTTACATTTCCAACCCTCACAGTCAGTCCTGATATTAATTATTCATTATTATAACACATGAGTGCTATCCCCATCTCGTTTTCATCAGTCCTGTTCAGACATAT